CTCTTGTAGTCGCGTAGCCCAAGTTACAAGTCTACTTTGGCACACTAAACACAAGGTAAGAGTTTATCCTTTAAACATTACTTTATTATTTATTAGTTAACACTTTTCTAACTCTAAACTAAACTCCAAATCCCCTACATACTACTGAATTGAGCATGTATTTATACATGCGCCTATTGTTTACATGTTTACATCTGATCGCTGTTCTACGCTATTCTAGAAATTCCCACTTCTAAATTTTCCCACCGTTGATCCCACAACACAAATTACGTGACGCGACGGCGTGTTACGTTACTGTGCCTACCTTTATACCCACGACAATAGTCATTTGGATACACTAAGAATTTTGGGAATTCACAGATATTTATCAAGAAACCCATCGTAAGTCGGTAATGTAAACATTTAATATTCCGAATACTGTACTGTAGTACGGCAACAATTTTAAATGACAAATATCGTGTACAGTGACACAACGTAAATTAAAAGTTTCCCATTTTTCAGTGACTCTAAAATGCAAAATAAAATAGTAACACCGAAATATGTGGATCACTTAGGTATGAGAACAAACAAATAATACAGATTAAAAGGTGAGTCTATTGACAACTCCGAAAATGCTAGATGTAACAATAAAAAAAAGAACGTTTCCTTTTCACGTTTTCCTTGGTCTATTTATTCATGCATAAAAAAAAAAGTTACATAAAAATTTCAAAGATTAAATTAACAAATAATGATCATTTAAATAATTAGTAAATTACTTTATTCATCATTTATTCATTCATTGCTTATTATTTACAGTATATAAAAAAAGATATGCTAATATAAGTATTTTATATTACAATTTAATAGTATATTATTTAATAAAAAGGAAAGCAGTTTACTTCAATCTTTATCAAATTTATCAAATGGGATATCAAGTAACCCTTATTAAAGGAACACTATTAAGTTTGCTTGATTGTATAAAATTTCAGGCTAATTTGTTATGAGTTTATTCTTGAATTTTGTAATTTTGAATTTAATTGTACAGTTTATGGCATACTAAACTTTTAAAATGCAAAAATAAATTTAATAACAAAACTTTAAGAATACAATAAGATTAGAATACATCAAGATTTTAGTTTTGAGAAATAATAAAATATTTAAATTGTATAAATCAATGCATATACAGTATATATTGTTGAGGTTGAATATCGGCGAGTCTTTCGCTTCACTGGATCCAGACTCGCGTAACCGCAGGTAAGTGAGGCGTTTCTATTCCCTTGACCGAGGAGTCTTAACAAACACTTTTTTCTTCCCTATCGAAATTACAGATATTACCAAGGAGAAAATAGATTATCGAGACGAAAATAAAGCTATCTAAACTTTTATGGCTACATCTTTACTTCATGTGACTAATACTACGGGCTAATAATATACAGGTGCATTTGTTAAATTGAATGTTGATAAAATCGATTTTTTTTTCAAAAAAACAATAAAAACAATAACAAATTGAACCAAACATCGTGATATATTAAATAAATAATTACAAAAGTAACAATTTTTTTTAAAAAAGGATTTGCTTATTACTTATGACAAATACATTTATATTCAAAATCAAGTTATCGTTTATTTATAAATTACATATATTTTTAATCGTACCTTGGAATCAAACTGTTAGTTTATGCAGTACGAATAAAATATAACAAATAAATGCAAGTTTTAATATAAAACAAATGAATCTCATAATATTCTTTTATTTATCGATGCATACTACCTATAAAAACCTATGATCAAATATTCTCGATCACGAGATACAGTATCAAAATTATTAACAGTTGAGAAAATGCACTATTATTTATCGAGAAAATTTATTTGTTATTAGTTTTTTTTTTCTTATAAGTACTGTATAAAAGAAGGATGTGCGTGTAACGTAAATATTATGTTCACAGTATTTTTTGAACATCCAAATATTTGTGCATACGTCATCGACAATTACTGTATAAGAATAGAAATGGAATACAGTACGTAGAGAAATATTATTATACTGTATATACTGTGCATAGCATAATGAGATGATCGAATTCACGCAATACCGTTTCCATCATTCACTTTCAAAACTTCATTTTGAATGATTATCGGTATTTCAATATCTTCATATAATTTGCATTCCTAACATACAATATAAAATAAAAGCTACAGTGGGAATTTATGAGTTGTGGAATTAAGGCTTTAGACGTAATTTTTTGGTCTAAAATCCTTTAAAATCCGACAAAACTCATGACACTTTTAGCCATAAATACGCTATAATGACTACACACAACAGTTTCTCATCCTATGTTCAACTATAAATATCTTTCCGACATCTTTCGTTTATTCACAGTTGAGCTGCTATTTACTGTTGTGGGAGTGTAACAGCGAGTCTGTCGCTAAGGAGGACAAGATTTCGTGCAACCGCAGATAGGATGGGCAATACTTAAAGAGAAGGAGATGCGTTTTGATTTGGTCGAGTATTTTATTTTATAATTTGTATTATTCTCCTTTATTAACGCTTGTCTCTTTCTTTTTATACATCATTTTATTTACAGAGGCTAATGCGGCTATACTTTTTAAGAACAATAATTAAGCCAATCTAAATTACATAAGTTCCTTTTCACAATCCCTTCTTTCTTTTCACCACATTAGATAATTGTGCACCGCCGACCAAGAGCAGGTTTTCTTGCGTACTGTTCGCGGCGATCAGTCACGTGATACACATCGCGTCTTGACTTACTCCCTTACATTGTACTGTACATGGTTTTAATTATAATGAGATGCACAAAATAAACAAACTAAATAGGATTGTTGTCGTCACCGGCGAGTCTGTCGCTAAAACGGCTCACTCTTCGCGTGACGATAATCCGAACGCTGTAGGACTTTAACTCCGAGGGGGATTACGATTTGACCGACTTTCGCGCACTTGCCAATCTCTTCTTGACCATTTTTCCCTAGGCACGTCTCAATATTACAAGAGTTACTCTCCTCACGGTACACAAAGGTAACGTCGCGTCCTTCTTTCTTAAAGGCGTTTACTTTACTGTAGTGGTGTTGGTTTGGTTTATACAGTACTTTAGGAATGTAATATCGATTATTGTGCAAAGTAAAATAGCATTTATTCAATAAAGTGCAGGTGAGTCAAAAAAATAAATAAATGTTCTCTTACTCGAAGCTATATGAACTATCCTATTATATGCTTTGTTGACGCGTTTTTACCCATTACATGCCCTTACCAACTATTACATAATTTCTACCATCACCGATATTATTGTTACGCGACGCGCCACAATGTCGCGTTACCATCCCTATTGTTCCCACAACAGTATAAACGATATAAATTAAATAAACTATATAGACAAGATAAACAAAATAATAATATTAACAAGATAAAAAATATAATCTAAATAATCTAAATCAACTAAATTAATGATATAACCAACATCATTCTCAATTTTGATAATTACAGCGTGTTATTTTCTCGGATTTTCAGTCTCAGGATTGTTGCATCACATTTTCTCCTTACACTACACAGCGTTCATGGTCATTTCATGATTGGCTTTTGAGTCAAGTTTGTCCTTGACGGTTTGAGTCGTCAGATCTGAAAGTGAATCGCTGATCTCCAGCACTATCTCTGCTTGTTCTATATACTTTGGCGTTGCTTTTCCGCTGACATTCCCATCCGATGTTGATTTCATCTTTAGATCGAAATGAGTCATGACCGGTCGCCACACAAGTTTCCAATTGGAAATTGGAAAATCTTTTTTGTTGTATTCTTTGAGCAATACATTTAAGGTTGCGGTGAATTTTTTCGCGCGTCGTTCCCTCATGTCCTCAACTATTGCTTTGACGGCAATAAATCCAACACTTACAAGGAATTGGAGTACAATGCTAACAGCAGGGCCAGTAAGAGAACGCCTAGCACTGGTCAAAACGTAAATGATAATTATGACCATAATAGTGGAAAATATTCCATAGGACCAGTTAGCAAAAGTTCCTATTCTTCTACTCAACAACGGAACTTTACTAATACGTTGATTAATTTCATCAAGTCTAGCGTCGAACTGATCACGATCTAGAAACCCATGGAGATCAAGACACCAATCGATGTCAAATTCACTTTTGGGATTAAAATAATTGAGCTTCTTAAAAGAAGTTTTTTCTTCGACGACAGGAATGACGAGGAGTTTCATTGCGTGGTGTAGAAAAAATAAATGCCTCAATGATGAAAGGTTGAGATAGAAGAAAAGGGTTTATATAAATATTTTTATTCAGTATGTAATGCACCGCGCAATATAAAACAATAGCTATGTTTTTGTTTAGATACAGCAAGTATCATATGGTCATCAATCCAATTACCATATTTAGACCTTACACATATTATCATTGAATTGGTTTATCAAGGGTGAGGGAGATGTGTGAGATACAAAGTTTTTTTTCTCGTCGTGATCACAGTATGGTAGAAACTTCCACGTACGATGAAATTTGTACCAATCAATTTCGATCACTTACAAATTCTGAATGCAAAAAAGTTGGAAACACTGTATTGAATTTCGAAAACCGCAAACAATGTCGACTATTGTAATTGTTTATTTACCCAGTACATGCACTAAATCATGGCACCAAAAACAGAAATATCGTTTTCTTTTTTCACATCAAAAGAAGTGTGATTTACAATTAAAAAAATTGCAAACCGGCACAAACTGCATAAAATTGATTTTCCTTATTTGGTTACGCCGTTACAGGGGTGTTCCACGTAACGTATCACGAATATATAGCTGATAGTACAGAGTAGGCTTAACTGAGAGTTTGTCAATAACTCTGGTAAAACTTTCGCATAACTTAAAAAGTCTCAATGCATAAATAGAAGCAATTTAGGCGTGGTAATTCGACAGAACTTCATCGCAGTACAATGACAATAATTTTTTTGATAAATATACTGCTCAGCCCTCTCATTCTGTGTATCCTTTTTTCGCATTAACGTTCTTTGTTTGCTTCTTCTGTCGTAGAGTTTATTAAAAAACATGTTTTTTAAAACTGGTGGCTTTATTGTATGCGTGAATCAAATCGCCAACCAGGCGACACAAAATCGCATTCACATTTAAGAGGGCAATAATTGAACTATGCGTTCTAATAAATAACAAAGTAGACGCGATTCGCTTTTTCTTTCAATAAAAGGTGCAGTTCATTGCTTCATACAACATAAATATTATCATCAGAATAGTTTAGAATCTTAAAATTGACTTTACTCAATTTTGTGCATCCAAGATGCAGATATTTAATTATGCGATGAGTAAAAATAAACCAAGATTTTAATTAATTGAATATAACGTAGGATGCAAAGTTGGTCGCGTGACCGATAGTCACATAAGACAAAAGAAAGATTGTAAAGAGATTATTTCAGCGTTATTAACTTTTCATTGTTCTTTTGTATTCGTCAAAATCAATTCTAAATGCTTGCAACTAAGTTTATTTGGAAAACCCTTGAAACGATCACGCGACGGACTCAATACTGTACTGTACAGTATATCGGTAAGTCACCTAATAGAACACGTGATCTACCGTGCGTATGATTTGACAGATTACGAGAGTTTCGATAAATACATCAATGTCTTCTTAGATTATAAATTATTTAAAACTTTATAGACTTGAGACTTTGCTATTAGAATCTATTTTTGCCAAATATTGTGGGGTCCAACGAGTATGATTTATAACATAGAAACATTCAATGTGATTACTGTATACAGTATTAATTTTTTTTTTTTGCCATTCTGTTGATAATTTACGTTACTCGCCATTTCTCGGATTCGAATATTGGGATTCCTCAATTGAGAAGAGTGTTATTAACTTTTTTTAAAATTATCTTTTGGAAAAATACTTTTAAAAAAACGAATCATTTAATAAAAATTAAATTGTACCAGATTATTAAAAAAATAAATTCTTGTATTTTCTTTAAATATATTTTTTTTAAAAAAATATGTTTTTTATAACTCACAATTAAACCTGTTTATTCACTTCTATTGAACCGATACAAATACAAGACATACAGTAAATGTATACAGAGTATATATCTATTAAATGCATCTCGCCTATTAACAATACTGTATAATGTTTCGATATACTGTATATGATTTATAGGTGTAAGGTTTAATAAAATTAATTTTCAAATTTTTCAATATGATCTAATCTGCAAGTAATCATAAATTTCAACCCAAATTGTGCCATCCTTTTCTCTTTTATAAAAATTATCAAAAAAAGACGTGCTTAAAGAAAAAAATAAAAAAAGCAAACCAAACCAAAATCATTATATTCTATCTATTATTGAAAAAAATTTTTTTATTTGTCCGAAGGACATCTGTCCGTATGCGTAATCGCAATGGACGATAATAAGCATTCATGTTTAGGCTATATAATTACCGCGACACGACGCGTTCTGGTTGCCTGTAACATGTCACGCCCAGGTTTCTCTTAAATTATCATGACGTATATGTTCTTAAAATTATTATGGCGCAACTGTTCTGATTATCCTTAAATTATCGTAACATTTATTTCAAATTATTGTGACATGTACCCTTAAATTTAAATTATTCACTAATTTTTTTCTATTATGATATAAATAAAGCTTTTTAAAAATTAAAAAACAAAAAGTTATTTATTTTATTGTGTTTTCTGCAATTAATGTTCAATCTCTTAAAAATACCCTTCGAAAAAGTAGTGAAAACGAAACTGCCCAGCGTCAACAACATTGAAACGTAATAGGATGTCTAAATGTATGAAAAGAATGACTAAAAAGGCTGTCCAACGTGAGAACCGATTACATAATATGCGGGTATGAATAAGAATGCATTATTTTAATGATCGCACCACTCAATAAGATGCTACTCATCCAAATGTCATTGATGAAGATTGTCTGCCCGATTTTGACCCAAATCTTTTTGCAAGAAATAATATTTACCACGGTGATGTGCTTGAAGAATTACAAAACACTATCCAA